TGTCCTGTGCTGGGGCGCTGGGGCCTAGGGCAGTGGAGCTGCCAGGAGGCGCTGAGCATCTGAATGAGGGAGTCCCGAGTCAGCTTTCCCTCCTTTAGTGGCTCTTGTTGATGTTTGTCACCGTGATGATGTCCGGCTTACGCGCCCCTCTCGTCACAGGGCTGACACATAACTGACCTCCTTTGCACTTGACTGTGGACCTCAGGGTGGGCCTGGAGAATGGGCGTGCACTCATGTGGGAGGGCCTCACGGGAGGGTTCGGGTCCCCATCTCAGCCTGACTGTGAACGCGATTCCCGCTGTCAGTCATTCGGGAAGGGAGCCTGGAGGGAGGCGGAGAGTCCCCAGGTGAGGACCTGGGAGCTTCCATCTGCTCCCAGGGAGACGAGTTCTGAACCATGCACCTTTTCACACCCGGCCTGCCCTGGCGTCAGTGCCCTGGCCACACTGGGCTGCAGCAGAAAACATCAGGGCCTCTTCTCTGCTAGGGCCAAAGGCAGAGGGTGGAAGAAGGACCCACGTCAGGGTCCTCCAGGTCTGGCCTGGGCTGTGCTGGGTCCAGGCTGGGATCCTGCTCCTCCCCCTGAGCTCTGGTCCTGCCCCAGGGCCTCTGCCCGGGTGGGGAGGGAGCGGGGAAGAAGGCTCTGGGGCTGCCCACACAAGGCAGGGCCCTGGAAGGAGGCAGGCCGACCTCTACACCCAGGCAGTGGGAGAGTGCCGATGGCCTCGTGAGAGGGTGCTCACAGCGTGCGTGAAGCCAGGTGGGACTGGCAGGGAGCAGGAGTGCTGCCAGGGGTTCTCCTGGGCCCAGGACGTCCTGAACACGGGTTTGATCCGCTCATTGATGGCCCATGGAGAGGACGCACTTCTTTCATTTCTATTGAAAGAAAGGTCCAGCGTTGTACTCCACAGGTGACCCATATTCATGGTCTACTTCCCACTCACGGGGCACCGTGCCCGGGGGGCACCCGGGGGACGGCAGCAGAGACACCTGTGTGGGCTTCTGATGCTGGAAGAGGCCTCCTCAGCGCGAGGCAGAAGCCCAGCCAGCAGCCAGCTGGGAGCCGCCAGTGTGGCTGGACTCCTGCCCCGCTCCAGTGAGGAGGGGAGCTGGAAGGGAGGGAATAGCATTGCCCCAGGGTGGGTCAGGGCAGTGGAGGGAGTGCAGGAAGAGGACTGGGTGGGTCTTCCCAGGGTGGTACTGGGGGCCAGGGGGCACAGAGAGGTCTTGTGGGTCTAGCAGTGGACAGTGATGGCACGTGGGCAAGCGTACTCTGATCCACAAACATCCGGAGCCTCAGAGGCTGGGCCCAAGAACCAGGCAGGACGCGGCTCCTCTAGGAGACCCTGTGGCTGCCAGAGTCCCCAGGACACCAGGACAAGACCCTGGGTGCCAAGCTCCGGAGCTGGCTGTGTTCTCAGCTGCTGGGACCCAGGAGCCCACAGGGAGGACGGGGCTCACGAGGGAAATGATTTTGCTGGGACGAAGCTAAGTTGCTCTTCGTCCACCTTCTTACGGTTTTGAATGTGTGTGTGCATCGTGAAACTGAGACCACCACACTGGTCAGTGACCGCTGGGGAAACCCTCAGAAATAAATCTGCTGTGAGGAGCCCGTTTATTCAAATGATTGAGGGCGGGAAAGAAATGCGCCTTTGAGTGCTCACTGTGAGGTTTCCGATTCTCTGTGTAATGTATCTCGTGAGTTCGCACAGCGGCTCTGACCGCCGGGGGGTGACTTTCCATTTAGACAACGGAAAACTCCGACAGGGTAAGTGATGTTCCCCAGCTCGCCACCAGGAGGCGGTGGAGCTGGGTGGAATCTGGCGTGAGGCCAAGCTGTCCTCCTTGGTAGGTGAGACACTGCAGGGTTTGTTCAGCTACCACCCGATGACGTCCAGGGGAGGAAGGGCATTCTACCCTGTTGGGATAGGTAGGAGTTTCCAGGGCCCCAGTGGTCCGGGACATCATGACAGGGGCCCCTGGAGCTCAGGACCCAGGGAGAATGGGACAGGTCTTCTCTCCAGGAGACCCCTTCCTGGCATGTGGGCAAGCCTCCTCTTGTCCTCGTACCAGGTGGGAAGATGGATGGCCCAAGGTGACCCGGGAGAACATAGTCTCATGAGGAGTCACTCCTGATCCTACAAATCTCTGACTGCTTGAGGATTGGGAGGCCAGGACTCCCCAGGAAGCACAAGCCAGGAAGACCAGGTCGTCTGGGAGTGGGGCGGGCAGCCGGGAAGGCACAGACTGCCCAGGGCTGCACTGGCTGGGGCAGCAGTGAGTCCAGTCCTGAGTCTGGACATGGCAGTGATGGCTGGTCAGGGAGTCCCAGGTCAGGGAGCCTCTGACCTGGAGCAGGGGCAGACTGGCCGCTGCAGAGAAGGCTGAGGTGAGCCTTGGGGGTCAGGCTGAGGCTCCTCCTGCTGTGAGAGTCAGCAGCTCCCGGCAGCAGCTGGGGATGGCTGGTCTGTCCCCAGCCCTGACCAGTCACAGTGGTAGGGAGCCTCTGGACCAGATCTATAGGGCTGCCCCTTCCTGTCCTGGGTATTGTATAGAAGTCAGTTGCTATGAAATCGACCTTATTTTTTCCCGTCGTCTCAGGATTTGGGGTTTGTTGCTGGTTTTGGACTCTGGGCACGCCTGAGATGGCTACCTCTGCTTTGAAATGGCTTTCTGAACTAATTGGTTGGTCTGTCTAGCCGTCCTTTTAGCCCTCGTTGTCTCCCTTCTCCACAGAGACCTGGCCACAGTTCCACAGGCAGCTGTGGTCCTTTCCCAGTGGGAGACCAGAGCCCGCACTGGGCAGCCGAGGTGAGGAGTGGGCTGTTCCTGCTCCCGCCGGGTGACGGGGACACTGGTCACCAGCCAGTGACGGGGAAAGGCAGCTGCACCCCTCCACCCTGCAGTGTCACTGCAATCCCCCCTGTACCCCACCCCCACTGAGCCATGAGGTGGAATCGCCACGGACCTCTTAAGTGGACAGGCACCAGAGGCGTCCAGGAAGGACAGAAGTCACCACGAGGGCCCAGGGCAGGCAGGGGCGTGGAGGCTCTCTGACAGCAGACAGCCTGGACAATGGCTGTCACTATGGCAACCACCACCTGTGCTTGGACTGCAGGGTCACCTTCACCTGTCAAGACCTTTCAGCAGGGAGGGAGGGAGAACGGGCGCTGAAGACGGAGAGGTGGCCTCCAGGGGGGCCTGGCTGGGGTCAGACCTGTCTGTCCTCGGGTGGTGACACTCTCCGCACGGCAGGGCCGGCCGCACGGGGCCAGGGCCTTTTCAGGCACAGCTCTGAGCAGGACTGGGTGGGGGGCGTCTGGGTGGGGGGACCCCGAGTGTCCCAGCGGGAGCGCTGGCAGGGTTGGGGGCAGCGGTGGGTGAGGGGCGGTTCCCAGACACCATGGCAGCAGAGGGGTGGGTTGTGGAGGGCGGGGGTCTGCAGAGCTGCACCACACCCGGGAGGGCACTTGCTGCTTTCCTGGGCAGCAGGTCACCCCCTGACCATCGTCCCTCCTCATCAGTGGGTGCCGTGGAGGGAACGCACTAGCATGGCTCAGGGGAAGGTGTGCGAGTGGGAATCTGGGTGACTGGGGGCACATGCAGTGTCGGGGGCAGGAGGAAGGGCCGTGTGCTTAGGTGCAGGTGTCCCAGCACACCCGGGGGACCTTCAAGACCTTCAGGACCTGCTGGGCCTGAAGGAGGACTCAGTCCTGCGTGGAAAGGTCAGCGTGCCACCTGCACGGGCTTCCCTCCGCCCCCGAGGGTGGCCGAGCTGGGGCGGCGTGCACCCTGGGACGACAGTGGGGTGCTGAGGCCGAGTCACAGGGGGCGGGGAGGGGCGGAGGGGAGGCAGGGACCCGGGCACTGGCTGGGTCTGGGGGGGGAGCGCCAGCAAGGGGGGGCAGGGCTCCGGGTGCTGCTGCTCACAGCCAGGCTGGCACCCCCACCAGCAAGCTGTCCCTCCGCGTTCTGGTTCCTCACATCCACAGAGAGTCAGGCATGTTTTCAAATGAGCATTTCTTCCTGGTCCCGCCAAAGCTCATGGCGCTGTCCCTTCTGGCTTGGCGAGAATCTTGATCCTTCCTCCTCTTCTGAAGGGTCTGCAGGCTGTGTTTGGAGTCAGCTCCTGCAAAGGGTCAACCAGAGCTGGTGGGCTGTCTTCCAAGGCACGGAGACCTTGGTGGGCAGGCGGAAGCTGCTGGCCCGACGGGGGG